CTTACTTATTACTTTACTTTAATTTACTTACGTACTTATTAGTATATATATATATATATATATATATATATATATATATATATATATGCTTCTTTGCTAGAAAGGGCTTGACCCACTTGTATAGCGATCCATGAATGCTCCAGGGTGAATTGAGCCAGCAAAGCACCTTTTATATTGTCATTCTAGCTTGACCCACTAGTATTGCGACCCTTGAATCCTCTAGGATGAATTGGCCTGGCAAAGCACCTTTTATGTTGTTAGATCTCCATTTTTAGGGGAGATACTACAGAAATTTTGCCAGCTTTGGTCAGGCTTGCCTCTTTCATGAAGTCCATAGCATGACATGAACTTACTTTTGTTTCTTTCCTTGTATCTCGTAGGCAACATTCTTGATGTTACGAATCTTCCAAAGCATGGGGAGGTTGGGCCTAGTACTTTTACTGGAGTCATCCTTACAAGACATAGTCCCTGAGTTACAATGGCTTTCGAGTATCACTTTTGTGAGTGACAATGCCCTCTTCCATCGTCGCGAGACTTAGGATGGAGAGTCGGTAGTGCAAGATGACAGTGTGCCCATGTTTCATTTCCTTCACTATGATTATGGTTCTCACTTAGACCTTCCTACTCTCGAGGACACAAGGTTTGATGTGGTCTTCACACGGGCTTCAATTCCAAGGCGAGCACCAGTAACTAAGAGGGTATAGCTCCTGAACCTTTGATATACTCTGTCATCATGAGGAGTAGCTCAGGTCGTCTTCCTTACTCTTAGCTTGTTAGTGCTCAGCAGGCTACTATGATCGTTCTTCAAACACCACGAGGGCCCTTCTAGAGACATGGAGTTATGTAAGTAACTCGTGGCTCTTCGTTCATGGAGAGGTAGGGATCTCTCTTCTCAACGTCCACTTTATGAGTGGCCTATGTATGTTAGGCGAGATGTACAATAAGTTTGTACCCAGCAATTTGGCGATCTTTGGTGACCATTTAGTGAACGGCGAAGCGCCTCTTCCAGGGCTTCACGAGTTGTTCAAGGTCTACCAGTTATTACTTAGTTGCTACCATTTGGCGCTTGTAACCTCAATATTTTATTTGTATGCATTTGCTTTATTGTGTTGCATAGGCACTCTATTATAGCGTTGTATCTTTAGGAGCTTGTATTCCATTTTCCTATAAATTAATAGAAAAATGGGTAAGGGACCCTTTTCCCTCATTGATTTACCAAAAAAAAAAAAACCTACGTTGTGTAAATAGGAAACCTTATACTCTTTACATGATGTCACAAATGACCATAATTGTAAAATATAAAAAATTAAATGGTTGTTTTAGATAATTATCATATTAGTCACCAAAATTATGTAAAATATGTAATTTCCTTTACATTCATACATTCACATTATTTCTTAGTACTGCATTTTTCACATCTTGCTTTCCATATATTCCACAATTAATGGTGCCTCCTCAATGTAAACTTCGAAGCAACTAGTGCAAGACAATTCTAAGTGGGATTTTAGCAAGTAAGAAGTGTAGAGATGACAAAAGGTACTTTTGGGCTCGGGCAAGGTCTGGGATGCGGATTTTAGAGAGAGAAAAGAAAGAGAACTCGAACAGGAAAAAAAAAAGTAAAAAAATATGATTCTTTTTTGTCTTGTTTAAATAGTTTTATGCATTTTAAACGTTTTTATGAAAATATTACGATTTTTTGCCTACCTCTTCAAAAAGTCACAGTTTTTAACGGTTCCAATAAAGTCGTTGATTTTTAAAAAAATCGCTGATCGTGAACTTGTGAACATAAAAGTTGATTAGGTTATCTTATAAATCAATTATTGTTCCCTAAAAAAATCCAAAATAAAAAAAAAACCAAGCTCATGGGATGTAAGAAGACAATCGCTAATCCCCCTTGAGAGTAATTTAAAAAACGGATTAGTGACTAGGATCGAGCATCGTAAAACTGGCTCGGATCGTCATTTTAGCGCGTGAAATAACTAATGAACCGGTCAAAAACTTATCAGGATTGGTGAATCCACATTTTCACCAAAGCAAAACAGGATTTTTATTATTGCATAACCCCATTTTGGTGAATTGCCCGTTTTCTTTTAGACCCGAACAATTTCTTGTAGGGAAAAGTTTATATAAGGTTGCGACCTTAAAATGTAGAATCACAGATGCGCTTCAATAATCTATCAGAAATGTTGTTTTAATGTTAAAAAAATCTTCTAATCGATCATCTCGACATTAAGATGTATGAATATGAAAAAAAAAACCGTTTTCGAGTCTCGAAAATAATGCATCTTGCAACACATTATCTAGACTGTCCAGTTCCATTTTCATATATATATAAATCTACTTGATTTTAACCATTTTTTAAATTTAAAATTTTCTAATTAGGTATGAGAATAGATTTTAAGATACTAGTAAGAATTTTTTATAACAAAATTACATGTTAGGATAAAATTTTAAGGTGCGTCTCAATTAGATTGTTTAAGGTTGCATCCTTATAGAAACCACACCATTTCCAATATATTGACATAATTATGATGGGTGATTCCTGGAATCAGACAATTTCCATACCCACCCAACGTGTTTTAAAAGGAATATATCTCCTTACCCCTTAATTTTAACTTCTCTATCTCTTTGGACCCATGGATGACGACCTCCATTTTTCCTATCTTGTAGCCCCTTTAATCCCGTTTTGAAGAATTTTAACCCCAATAAAAGTTAAAATGACATCCTATGTTGCAAAGGCTTTGTCTGTGGATTTTTTTAGAGAGAGAATGATCTCTCACTATCGCTTTATCTTCATGAGAAAAGCTTTTCTATCATCATGGAAAGGTAGATTTTTCCTCTCTCCCCAACATGGTAGAGAGAGAAGATTCTCTTATGGTGGGATTGCAGATATTTCTTCTCTCTCATCACTTGGGCGAGAGAGAGGTGCTTCTTTCATGTTGGCACAATGGGCATGGTGGTTGCACCAGTTGTTCGTGATGCTCTCTCACATGGAGTTGCAGTTGTTGCCCTCGAGTCCACCATCATATCTCATGGAATGCATTATCCCCAAAATCTTGAGAGTGCAAAGAAAGTTGAGCAGATTGTAAAAGAAAACGGGGTGATTTCTGCAACTATAGCCATCTTAGATGGTGTTCCGCACATAGGTTTAAATCATGAAGAATTGAAATTGCCGGCTTCTCTAGGCAAGAAAATCCGCACGTAGGGATTTTCCATATATATGTTCAGGTGGGTTTTCTCTTTCTAGAATTTCAAAGCTAGGGATCATGGCAACTTACCGTGGGCAATTCTTCTCTCTTAATGTGGTAGAGAGAGAAGAGGAAAAACTTCTGTGACGATTGGGTTGTGGGTGTTTCTCTCTCCTCAAGATGTTAGAGAGAGAAGAACGAGAAGAGAGAGAAATAATTATCTTGAGCACTTATGTGGAGTCTGGTTTGATGGGTTGTGGATCTCTCTCCTTGATGAGAGAGGAAAGTTTGCCAACCCCAAAAATGTGAGACTCTGAGGTGTCTTGGCTTGAATCCGAGATGGGTTGGGGGGAGAGGTGGATAGAGAGAGAGTGAGAGGTGATGAGTTTTTTTTTGGAGACAAAAAGCGCAAATGCCAACTGGGGGTGGGTAGAGAGAGAGTGAAGTTTGCGAGGCGTTTGGCTCTGAGTTCCACCATCCTGAAATGCCTTTGTCTTGGTCTTGCATCTAGAGAGAGACTGTAATTTGCACTTAGAGAGGATGAAGACAGAGAGTAAGTTTCAATTAAAGAGAGTGAAAAAAGAGAGTTATTTGCAGTTAGAGATAATAGATTAGGAGTTAGAGAGAGGGAGTAATTTGCAGTTAGAGAGAGAATGGATCAGGAGTTAAAGCGAGAGTGAACTCGGTGTTGGTTTAGTGAAGAAAAGCTATCTACTAGCGTACATGAAAGAGAAAATCACAAAATCGTGATCGTCGGAGAACAGTGAGACATGGAGCAATGGAACAAGAGATCATTCCCCTGAAAGCAAGTGACCCAAGGACGAGAGATCCTTTCTTCTCTTTTTAAAAAACCTCACAAACGAAGCTTTTGCAAGATAGGATGTTATTTTAATTTTTATTGAAGTAAAAAATTTATTAAAAAATAGATTTAGAAGGTTGCAAAAAAATCGAAATCTTTTGCTTCCGAAAAATATTTTTCAATCCTTGGGTACAATGAGATAAAAAAATTAAAATTAAAGGGTAAAAAAATATTAATAATCACTCTAGCTTATCCGAGTACCAATTTTTAAAGGGGTCGGACGTGGTCGATGCAGCAAGATGCGGCGGTGGGGCGATCGAAGAGATTAACCACAAGCCTGGCCGCACAAACGAGTGAACCCAGCCCCCTCTCTTCACTCTCTCCATACGCCACCATGCCTGCATCCAATGCCTTTTCATGGCTCTCCTCTCTCTCTCCTCGCCTACCACCTTCCGAGCTCGAGCCCACCTCATCCACCGACCTGGACCCAGGTCCACTAAACCCAGACCCCTAAGACGCAGAGACCTCATTCTCTTAACCGTAACTACCTCTGCCCTAAACTTCTCCCCTCATTTTCTTGCCTTAGCGAGCGAATACCTTGCCGGAAATCAATCTGAATTCGCCGGAAATTTTCATGAAATTTCTGGAGAATCCTCTGAGATCGCTGGAAAATCACTTGATACTACCATTACAGACCGAGTTTTCATGGACTTTAGCGTTTGCCCCAGCTATTTCAGGCCGGAAAGGACGGCTGAAGAAGACTTACCGGCATGTTCAGACTTAGAGCTCCTAGGAAGGGTCGTTTTAGGGCTTTATGGGAAGCACTTGCCAAGAACTGTGGCCAACTTCAAGGCCATGTGTAATGGATCTGCTGGTTCTTCATATAAAGGGAGTCTTGTTCAAAAGGTGTTTCCTGGCCAATATTTAATGGCGGGGAAACAGGGGAGAAGGGATAAAGGAGAGGTCCAGGTTCCATTGGGGTTAGAGAGGAATACGGAGACTGTTGATCCTCGAGCTTTCCTTTTGAAGCATGTGAGGCCTGGGACCCTTTCTCTTTGTTTATCAGAGAATGATGATGAAGATGATGTGAAGCTCGATCCAAATTATAGGAATGTTGAGTTTTTGATCACCACCGGGCCTGGACCTTGCCCCAATCTGGATAACAGAAACATTGTGTTTGGAGCCGTGCTTGAAGGTTAGTTTTATCTTCTTCAATTCCTTTCGACTTTCCATTGAATACTAACTAGTTACATGGACAATTTCATATTTTGTTTTATTTTTTGAAAGTTCTATTGAGTTTCTTTCTTTTTCAAATATTGAGTAATAATTACATGGTTTCTCACGAGAGGTGAGGAAAGGCAGCCCACACCTCGGGTGCTCTACATGACAAAAAGTATCACCAAATGTAGGGTTCGCGATCGGGTCGGGTTGAAGAATCGGGTTTGGGACCATGTTTTAGACCTGGCAAGTCTGGGAACCCAGGTCGGTTAGGTCCGGGTTCGGTTTGGACCCGACCTGTATAAAATGTATTAAATATATATTGTACAATATAAATATTATTATTATTTTTTTGATTTTCTAGACTGGGATCTTGGTCCAAATGATTTGTACAGGGCCGGTCTGGGTCCAAGTCAAGTGGACCAATCGGGGTCCAAGTTGGGTTTGGGTCCATGTGGAACCTAGGCAGGTCGGGTTTGGGTCGTGGTCGACCCGAACCTGACCTGACCCAATTACACCCCTAGCCAAAGGAAAGGTTAACAAATAAATCCAAACAACAGTGAAGCCTACCCACAAAACGGGAACTCAACAATGTGAAGAGTTACATCTCATCTAAATCATATGATAGAGGGATAACATGGGAAGGTCCAAGTCAACCCGAACCTGCCTAACTAGGTTGCACATGGACCTAGGCCCGACTAGGACCCAGGTCGGATCCATGTGTCTTGGACTCAGACTGGACATAGGTTGGATCCAAATCATTTGGACCTTGACTTGGGTCTAGAAATTAAAAATAATAATAATAATAATTTTTATATTGTACAATACATATTTTATACCGCGCCGGGTCGGGTTGACCCCGAGAGGTGAGGAAAGGCAGCCCACACATTGGGTGCTCTACATGACAAAAAGTATCATAAAACGTAGGGTTGGCAATGGGGTCGAGTTGAAGAACCACGTCCAGCTCCATGTTTTGGATCCAGCGAGTCGGGTCCGGGCCCAGCTTGGACCCTATTAGGTCGGGGTCAACTCGACCCTAATAGGGGTCAACCGGGTATAAAATATATTAAATATAAATATATATATATATATATTGTACAATATTAAATTTTTTTTTTTTTTTAATTTCTAGATCCAAGTTTGGGTCCAAATGACTTGGACCCGACTTGGGTCTGGTCTGGGTCCATGTAGAACCTAGTTAGGTCGAGTCCGGCTCAACCCATTTCCACCCCTAATCGAAGGAGAGGTTACCATATGAAATCCAAAACGTAGTAAAGTCTATCCACAAGTCGGGAACTCAACAATGTCAAGAGTTACATCTCATTTGAATCATAAGATAAGAGGGATAGCATGGGAAGTAAAGGGAAATAGGGAGAAATGGATAGAAAAATGAGAGAGAAAGTGACAAAGATTGGGTGGAAGTGACAGAAGGGAGAAAGAGGGAAGTGAGAGAGAGAGGCATCAAAGTAGGGAGAAAGACCAATAAAGAGAAGTGGAGATATCGGAGTTGAAAAAGATATTAATAAAGCAAGAAGGGTTTGGGCAAGCAAAGCAAAGCTAGTAAAGACAAGCTATATGGTTTGCGTTAGACAACATGAAAAACCAAAATCTCTACCCTACCTCTCTATCTATCAAAGGGATGGAAGGGCAGAGGGAGGTTCCCTTTGGTGTCCCTTCCACTCCATAATTGGCGCCTCACAATCAACAATCACTATCCAATATGCTTTTCTCTCATGCCTTTCGTGGTTCGATATTCTGGTTCCCTAGGCATAGAGAAACAACACCAATCCATCCCGAACCCAGAAGTAGAGTGGGTGCTTATGGCGCTACCCTTAGCAGCCCATCTTTAAGCAAAGCATCCATCATCATGTTCTTATAAAAAAAAAGCATCCATCATCATGTTAGCTTCCTGCCAAGTATCACAGAAGGCGACTCCAAGATGCCTGCATAGATGAAATTGATCAAATGTATTGCAGTCTCCACAGGTGTTGATTTCTCATAGTAGCCCAACTTATGACGTTCATAGAGTCCCCATGCACTACAAGAATCTGTCCCCAATCTTGACTTGATCTCTTAGGCCTTCTAGAAGAGCATTAGCCTTGGCTAGGGTGAAATCCCTTGTTCCAATGTATTCATGAAACGAGGATAAAATGTCTCCGTTTGAGTCATGGGGAATACCCCGGAAGCCACAGGCCCAGGGTTATCCAGAGAGCAACCATCAATATTTAGTTTGATGGTTCTATGGCTTGGAGGGAGTTGATCAGGAAGGCTTGGGAGGACTGTTTCGATGATGTTGGGTAATGATGTTGGACCAAGTGGAGGCGAAATCAAACCTAGAGTAAGTTTTTGAGATCCTTAAATTTTGAACCCCAGAAAATGGTGAGGTTTGTCACATATTCTGCAGTGCCAGCGTGGGTCTATTATTTGCACTAAGGATTCCAGAATTATGTCTTCCCAGATTGTGTCTCAAGTATTCTTCCTGATTTGTAGTATGGCATTTAGAAAGAAGCAGAGAAGAGTTGCCAATGAAAATTTAATGGAAAGCAACTCTACCATGAAGGCATAGAAGGCTATTTGTTTCTTCAGCTTCTAAACAATAGCAACAATTAGCTGGAGCTATACCTCTTCTTTATAGCTAACTGGGTGTTAAATTTTGGTTAGAAATGACCAGCCATGAAAAAGCTTGAACTTTTGGTGGCTTGGTGGTATCAATCTTTTGTTAGAGTGGAGGAAGATGAGGAAAACAAAAGTAAGAGCATGATAGATAGAAAGAAGTGAATTTTAAGATGCCTGATTAGACTTTGTCCAAATGACCATATCATTGCTCGAATTGGTACACTATAAAAGTTCTGGAAATGATCATATCATTGCTCTTCTATACACTAGCTCAAATGATTGTGCCACTGTGACATTATGGGTACTTGCAACAAAAAACAAATTTGGCCAAATATCCCCAGTGGGATGCTCTCCAAATGTCCTTCAAGTAGAAAACTTTGTCTCCACGATTGACTTTGTGACTTCCAAAGGACATGAAAGGTTCAGACAACCAAATATGCTTTTATAGGTGCCACAGTTATTGGAGTTAGGCCTTCTCATCAGAAGCTAATGTAGGTTTTCAGTGCCATACTTGTGAACTAAGACTGGTGTAAGAAGGTTGATGACAACCCGTCCCATGCATGGGTTAAGGGGCTGGGTTGTGTTAGGTAGGCAGCCAACATAAAATTTTGCTAAAACTTATCATGAATCCTGAACCTACAATATCTGCTTATGCTAGGGCGTGGCTTTTAATAGAGCATAATGGAGAACCAGGATTCGTGTAGCTGGCCCCAATTAATTGGGAGAAGGATATGATGATGATAACTTGTGAAGTAAGACCTCACATGAAGCAAATTGTGCTGGGAGGCAAGATGCCACCAACATTTACCCAAAAGGACCAGAATCGTATGCCTTAAGTTTGTGTATGCTAGCTCTCTTATATGTTGGGGGGGGGACACACCTTGTCCTAAGCCACTAGGTGGATTTTTCGCTTGGATGTATCACCTGACCAGAGTAAGTACCTCATGAGGTGTTCTTAAATTATGGCACACGAAGGCATTAGGAAAAGATACATGAAGAAAATAGGGATGTTGGAGAGGGTTGCTTTTAAACGAGTGAGGCGACCACCAAATGAGAGGAATCTGCCTTTTCACAAGGCCAGTCGTTTTTGAAATTTCTCTACAACTGGGTCCCAAAGGCTCGTCTTAGGCTTACTCACAAACAACTGTAATCCATGACACTTGGCTGGAAGACTATTAGTCCCGCTGCCCCATCTAGAAGCAAAGGTAGACAAAGCGTCAAAGGAAGCAAAGGATGTCAATAAGCTTTGACATAGCCATGTTGTTTTTAATCCTTGTGACTAACTCAAATGCTGTGAGGAACAATAAGAGCCTATCTATTTCAACATTGGATGCATTTATAGAAAACCAAGGTGTCATTTGCACAGTGAAGATGGCAGATCTCGTTTCTCATTCTAGACAGTTTGAAACTAGAGTAACCCTCTAGAGTAGAGTCTAGAAAGAGACCTATTGAAAACCTCAACAGTAGCCGTGAAAAGAAAGTGGTGGAACATAGCTGGCTTTTAGGAGACTCATTGACAAGAATGGAGAAAGAAGCAAACAAAGTATGATACGACACCCATTTTCACCATTTGTGACTAAATCCTTTGCAAAGAACTTGTTCCAAGATGTACCAGTCAACAAGATCATCAACTTTTTCCATATCCCATTTTATAATTAGACTGGGAGTTTTCAATGAGAGGTGTCGAAATTGAATTTTTATGCTCAACAAGCACACCATCCAGAATTTGATGATTGTGGAAAATCCACTTTGAATAGGACATCTCATAGCGACCACGATAGATGTAAGTATTGTAACGAGGTTTTTAGATAGGATTTTGTAAGAGGAATCGAGGAGACTAATTGGTCCTTTAATGTCAGTCGCTCCTTCAATTTTGGGGTTTGAAGCTATGAAAGTGGCAGAGTATATAAAATGCAAGTTTAGTAATAATAGGAGTAGAGACGAGGAAGTAGTTAAGATTGACGGCTAGAAAATACCAAAAAGAGCGCACTTTCGATAGCTTGGGTCAATAATCCAGGAAGATGGAGAGATTGAAGAAGATATCGCACATAGAATTACAGCTAGGTGGGCGAAGTGGAGATGTTGAACCGAAATTTTATTCGATCGCCGCATACCAATGAAGCTGAAGGGCGAGTTCTATAGGACAATTGTGACACCAGCTTTGCTGTATGGGGCGGAATGTTACGCGGTCAAAAAACAATATACCCATAGAATTAGGGTAGTGCAAATAAGAATGTTGAGATGGATGAGTGGCAGGACAAGAAGGGATAGAATTCGAAATGATACATTTGGGAAAATTTAGGTGTCGCACCAATAGGTGATAAGATGAGAGAGAATAGACTTACGTGGGCTCGACATGTG